GGAGCTTCAGTTGGCGGACAGTTGGTCGTACGTTTTCCTGCAAAATGTCTTGATAAACTCTGGAATTCATTTTCCCATCAATGACAACAATCCATCCAGGCCCTGAGGCAGCAAAGCAGCCCCAAACCATGATGCTCCCTCCGCCATGTTTTACAGTGGGGATGAGGTTTTGATGTTGGTGTGCTGTGCCTTTTTTTCTCCACACATAGTGTTGTGTGTTCTTCCCAAACAACTCAATCTTGGTTTCATCTGTCCACAGTATATTTTGCCAGTAGTGCTGTGGAACATCCAGGTGCTCTTTTGCAAACTTCAAACGTGCTGCAATATTCTTTTTGGACAGCAATGGCTTCCTCCGTGGTGTCCTCCCATGTACTCCATTCTTGTTTAATGTTTTCCTTATTGTAGATGTGGCAACAAAAATGTTATCATGTGCCAGAGATTTCTGTAGGTCTTTAGCTGACACTCTGGGATTCTTCTTTACCTCATGCAGCATTCTGCACTGTGCTCTTGCAGTCATTTTTACAGGACAACCATGCCTAGGGAGAGTAGCAACAGTGCTAAACTTGCTCCATTTGTAGACAGTCTGTCTTACCGTGGACACATGAACATCCAGGCTTTTTGAGATACTTTTGTAACCCTTTCCAGCTTCATGCAAGTCAACAATTCTTGATCGTAGGTCTTCTGAGAGCTCTTTTCTGCAAGGCATGGTTCACATCAGACAGTGCTTCTTGAAACCAATAAACCCAAAAACAGAAGGGCAGGACAGCTGTCAGCAACACATCCAATATCATCACACTGATTGGAGTCAAGGTTGGCTCACTCCTGGCTCCAATTAGCTCTGGGAGAAGTCATTAAGCTAGGGCCTCACATACGTTTTCCTCCCTGCACTGTGAATGTTTACATGTTATGTGCAATAAACCATGGCAACATCTAATGTTTGTGTAGTATTATGTTCAGCAGACTGTGTTCTTTTATTGTTGTGACTTAGATGACGTTCAGAGCACATTTTATGCCCAATTCATGCAAAACTCCACGTAATCCCAAGGGGTTCACATACTTTTTCTTGCAACTGTAGAGTATATATTCTAGGGGTGTTCAAGTCAACCAGAACTTTTGAAAAGAACACATTTTAAGGAGTGGAAACTGCATTTATTTTTGGACAAACTCCCCTGCTACACTTATACACTTATCCCAGCGTTTAACTATTGCCTGAAAGCTTTGGCATAGAAAGATTTGTCAGTAGCCCTGAATCATCCAAGGACATCCTGCTTCAATTCGTCATCATTGTGTTCACCGTTCCCACAGAAAGATTGTCTCTTGTGCAATTTCACTACATGGTATTTATTTATTTCAGGTACTTATATAGCGCCATCAATTTGCACAGCACTTTACATATATATTGTACATTCACATCAATCCCTAACCCTCAAGGGGCGTACAATCTAAGGTCCCTAACTCACATTCATACATACACATACTAGGGCCAATTTAGACAGGAACCAATTCACCTACTAGCATGTCTTTGGAGTGTGGGAGGAAACCGGAGTACCTGGAGGAAACCCACGCAGGCACAGGGAGAACATGCAAACTCCAGGCAGGTGGTGCCATGGCTGGGGTATGAACCAACGACCCTAGTACTGCCAGGCAGAAGTGCTAACCATTTAGCCACTGTGCTGCCCATGTTATGCATCGATTATCCAGGATCAGGTGCTCCGCTGGGTTGAATGTTCACAGGAATGGCAGCTGTGGGCTGGGAACCACCATGGCCGGGATTGTCACCGACGGACGGCCTTCTTTGTAATGTTTACACCATTCAAATGTCTTACTGTGACTGATTATCCTGATAGTCTTCTTCTGTAGCTATCTGAAGGTTTTATACCTTCATTCACAAGAAACTTCATCACCACACGTTGTTCCATGCATGCACTAACACTGTTGTCTGCCATCTTGATTAACGGCATCTCTGTAAAATTAGAAGTGCCGGTTTGACTTGAATGCCACTCGTGTGAAGCAGTACCCCCATTAGTGGCCAGTAGTTTGATAGGTCCCTTATCCCATATTGTGCCCTGCAGTCAGGCACACAGTCACTCGTTGGCTCGGTACACAGTCCAGGGTGTTCTTTTGTTTTGTTTTTATTTTTGGGGTAACTTGGATAGGGATTAGATAAGAGTGGGATGTCAAAAAAAAAAAAACTGTACAACTGAGGACACTAACTTTCTGCTTCTGCTGCTCTCTAACCACAGTCCTTGCAGGGACCAGAAAAGACTTGGCTTGTTACTTGTTCCAGTAATTTGAGATAAGTCCTTTAGTACAGATTAGAATTGACAAAGCTCTTCAGAATAGCAGAAGCTCCCTCCTTTTCCTGGCCTCTCAGCTGAATCTCAAGCACCAGAGGGGTGTGTGGCAGCAGCCCACAGTCTCTAGGATCTCTCATACAGTCTGGATCCTCTATGAGACAGTCCCTCAGTCAGCTTCTAGGCCTCTCAGCTAACCCAGCTGAGACCTCACAAAGAGCAAGCAGGACTGTTTGGGAAAGCTGCATGTCCTCCAGTCTGGACTTCTCCCATCCAAGACAAGACAAGATTGTGCTACAGCTCAAACTATTTTATACCCTTACCCATCAGTCACCTGTGCAAGGGTCCACAAGATCGGCTAAGGCAGTATAAATATTCATGCTGCTCATTTACATTACTCCACACCTATGTTCCAGAATGATCTATGTAACCCTGGAGATACAGAGCGAGGGAAATTAAATCAGCAGCCTGCGAGTCATAGAACAGAAACTAAACAATCACATGCAGCTGCTCCGGCTACAGTGAGAGCTAAATTTGCCAAACCCAGACTTGCAGCCATTTTATAAAGTATCAGAATGGATTGTAGTAAACCTATGGTATAAGATGTTACAAATCAGCTATTTAAAACTGATCTTCTCTATATTTTGTCACCTTGGATCAGGGACTGTTTCTGACTATAAGGAAATTAATGAAATGTGATTAATTGTCTTGTATCCTCCTACTTAATAAAACTGGCACAGACTTATGGTTTGGCAAATTCTCTCTCACATGAACATGATTTATTTATTGGAGTGGAGAAATGTGACCTTACAGTCTCTTGATTAATAAAAAAAAAACTCTTTTATAAAGACTAGCATTTTTGGTAATTTTTAATATTCCTATATCAAAAATAACCACGCTTGTGAAACAACACAAACATAAAACCTGCCAGCACGATATGTGATATTTAAAAAAAAAAAAGTTTACATGAAAATGTGCTGTACAGCAAAAACATCAAATAAACATGCAGTGTTCAAATGTGAAAAAACATACATTGTCCCAATGTGAAAAAAACTCTTGTAAAAAAAAAAAAAAGGAAATCTTAAAAAAAAAAATCTCTTCCACAGTGCCCCACCACCAACATGAGACCTAAATCTGCTTACCAAACCCCCATGACTCTTAGATCATCAAGAGTCAAGCAGTGCTTTTAATCAGAAACCATGTGGACCATCACCACAAACCTTTAGATGTTTAGATAAAGGATCCATGTACAGGTAAGTACCCAAAAAAAGATCACATGTTCCACATAGCGTGAAAACTGTAATACGTTTATTAAAAGGAGTAAAATTGCACTCATGGGGATAAAAATATTCTCAAAGCTGTAAAAAACCATCCAACTCCCACCTGGATCACAATAGCGGCTCACTTTTGGTAGGCGTGAAGATGTCACAACAGGCTCCAGCCGACGTGTTTCGTCATAGATCATATCTTCTGGGGACATTTATGACAAAACACTTTGGGCAGAGCCTGTTGTGATGTCATTGCTCCTACTGGACGTGAGCCACTATTGCAATCCATGTGGAAGTCTGATAATGTTATACAGCATTGAGTATTTTTTTATCCCTGTGAATGGAGTTTTTAGTCCTTGTAGTACAAGTTTTACAGGTTTCACGCTGTGTGGAGCATTAGATCTTCTCTTTTTGGGTACTTACCTGGACACACAGATTCTTCTTCTGGCGGGTGTTATGGAGGTGCATTCTAGTGTGGAGTGACCTTATCCCCGGAAAAGTAACATCTAAAGGTTTGTGGTGATGGTCCACATGGTTTCTAATTAAAAGCACTGCTTCACTCTTGATGATCTAAGAGTCATGGGGGTTTGGTAAGCAGATTTAGGTCTCATTTTGGTGGTGGGGCACTGTGGAAGATGTGGGTTTTTTTGGAAGATTTCCTTTTATATTTTTTCATATTGACTTTTTCATTGACATATGTATTTTTTTCACATTTTGATACCGTATGTTTATTTGATGGTTTTTTTTTTACAGTGCAGCACATTTTATATATATACGAGGGGCATTTACGTTAAACCGGGACTTTTATGTTTATATAATAACAGAACAAATTTCAAGGAGTAGAAACTGCATTTATTTTTTGGCATACTCCCCTACTGTATTTATACACCTATAAAGCAGCTTTTAATTAATGGTTGGAAAGCTTCTGCATAGAAAGATTTGTCAGTACGCCTGAACCATTCTAGCACAGCCTGCTTCACTTCTTAATGATTGTGCTCACTGTTCCCACAGAAAGATTTGTCCCTTGTGCAATTTCACGACAAATTATGCATCAGTTATCCAGGATCAGGTGTTCCAAAGACTTAATGTTCACAGGAATGACTGTTCTGGGCTGGGAACCACCACAGTCAGGATCGTCACTGATGGAAGTATGGCCATCTTTGAAACATTTGCACTTTTCAAATGTCTTACAGCAGAGCGTCTTATCTCCGTACTGTGTTTGAAGGCTTCTGTAGATATCTGCCGGTTTTACACCTTTGTTCACAAGAAACCTCATCACCACATGCTGTTCCATGCACGCACTAACACTGCTGTCTACCATCTTGATTAGCGGTCTCTAGACAGGACATGAGATCTGCGCTGCCTATCAGTAATAAGACATACTTGCCACTTACTACTGCATGTAGTACCGCCATGCTAGCATCCATTTTTATACCTGTAAAATTAAAAGTCCTTTTGATTTGAACATCCTTGTGTGTGTGTGTATGTATATATATATATATATATATAT